GTTACAGCCATTTCTTACCCCTTCAAGTCCTACTGAGTAGTATATCTCAGCCCCTCAAGAAAAACCAGTGGATTTCTGTTTCTAAGGTACTGTGCAATGGGCATCAGGACAGCAGACTCCGGCCCTTCTTATTTCCCCTTGCAGAAAGTTTGGTGTTAAGCAGTAGCACATAATAAAAAACTCAGCCTAAGCTTGGCTGTTTGTAAGATTTCCCTGCAGGTTCTCCTACCTCCCTGATTCATTCTACTCCGGACAGTCTCCCATCCATATATCACACTCAGAAAGAGAAGGCAATGCATGCCAGCTGTCAGCTTTCAGAGTCCTCTTGCAGACCTAAATAGGGACACATCTCAGAATCATGGATCAAAACTCAGATGTGCTAGGATAGGCTGCTGAGGGTAAGCTGGAATTCCTTGTGCTTTGAGAGGACCTTGCTCAGAGGGGCTCCCAGCAGACATTATTAGCCCCAAATCATTAAATGCTCACTAGGCACTGCACTGACTAATTTAAACAAAGTTGTTTAGGAACATAGGGTACTCTCCAATTCCCTGGATTGTCTGAAACGGTGGTTCTCAGCCTGTGGTCCACGGATTGGCGGATTATGTTGACTGGGTCCGCAAACAACAGACTGAAAACGGACTTCAACTATATGTACGGACAACAGATTTCCAAAGGGGTCCATACCATCACTTGAAATTTTGGAACATCCATGTTCCCTCTAATTTTTTCCATCCATATGCAGAATAATTTTATGTGCACTGGGCAGTGTGAAATGTGCACCACCAGTAGAAACAAAAAAACCCTAGCTTTGGGTTCTCTGATTTGGGTAATCAGCTGAGAGATATCTGAATGTTTCCTGAGCTTCTGCACAAGCACACAGCTTAAAGGGAATGCTGGTCTGCACCTCCCTTTTCAGGTGTCTGTAAACGAAAAAAAGGTCAAGAACTACTTATCTTAAACACCCTGATCCAAGTACTGCTTAACGGAGATTAGAAAGCGGCCCCTTCTGTGTGGACAAATCTGCCAGATCACTGACTTGCCATGAAAGGGTCTATCGTGGCTAGCTTATAGGAAAGACATCACTGAGTTTTGACCACAGGTAACTCTTCATAGAGTATAAAAACAACACAATAGAAACCAAAATATACAAAGAACTGGGAAAATGGGCAGAAACAAGTACCCCCCAAAATAGCTTTAAGTGAGGACCAGGGCAAAATACTAATGGATTTAAATTGAATAGCTACTTATAAACCTAACTTTAACAAGAAAGTGCTATTGTACAGCAACCTTCATCTAAAAGGTAAAGGACACTTTACAACAAGACAAAGCCATGAGCACTCTACTGACAGAAGAATTCCTATGTATACTGAAAGCTGGCTAGAAGACCAGAAATAAAGGCTATTGAATTTGGCAGGGGACAGCAAAAGGACAGGAGTTAGCTTGGATCTTATTTCAAAGCTTCATTAATGATCTGAAAGAGGGAGCAATGGGCTCATGAAAGAAATAGGCACACAGTGCTAAATGAGAGGTATGTGGAACGGGAATACCATTGAGGACAAAGACATATTCAAGAGATTTGCAAGGATTAAGGCATGAGCGGGTAAGGATAAAACATTTGACTCCATCCGGAAAAATGAAGCTGATTTACTGGTAGGTGGAGGATGTGTTACATCAGGGCTACTCAACACACGGACTGTTTGTATGCAGCCCATAGCGCCAGCTTGCCTTGACGCTGTGGGTTCCAGCAGGGGTACCTGGCTCTAGGGGAGGGGAAGGGCATTGGGTTGGAGCAGGATGGCTGGAGAGTGCCTGGCTCTCGGGGAGGGGTGGGTGCATTGGGTTAGAGCACAGAACTGAGTGTTAAGACTTCTGGTTTCTTTCCTTTCCTGTAGGTGGGCAGTGGGTTGGTTGCT